ACAGCTGAGTCAAATGGAACCTCTAGTTTTAGTTTTGTTTTGTTTGTGGAACTGGGGATTGAACTCAGGCCCTTGCACTTGTCAGGAAGTGCTTATTGCACTGAGCCATCTTCCTGGCCCCTAGTTTTAGTTTTTTGAAAAATATCTTTATACTGCTTTCCATAGTGGCTACACCAGTTTACATTCCCACCAGTAATGGCAAAGCTCCCTTTCTCCTGCAGCTCTCGGTATTTGTTGTTGGTTGACTTCTTGCGGATAGCAGTCTTTTTTTTTTTTTTAATGAGATGGAATCTCAATGTTGTTTTAATTTGCATTTCTTGAATGACCAGTGGTGTTGAACATTTCTTCTTATATTTATTTGCTGTTTCTACTTCTTTTTTTTTTTTTTTTTTTGCGGAACTGGGGATTGAACTCAGACCCTTGCGCTTGCCAGGCAAGCACTTATTCTACTGAGCCATCTCCCGGGCCCCTCTACTTCTTTATGTAAAAAATGTGTATCCATTTCAGGTGCCTATTTTGGGATTGGGTCTTTAATTTCAGGGGTCTGAGTTTTTTGAGCTCTTCATAGCTTCTAGACATTAGTCCTTTGAAGAGTAGCTGGCAGATTTTTTTTTTTTCCATTTTATAAGTTTTCTCTTCACTCTCTCGGTGGTTTCTTTTGCTGTGAAAAAGTTTTAAAATTAATATCCCAGCTGTTCATTCTTCATAGTATTTCTTATGTGATTGGGATTTTGTTTATGTAGTCTTTGCCTACACCAACATCTTCAAGAATCCTGCCCATTCTGTCTTGCAGCAGGTTGTTTCTGTTTTAATATTTAGATCATTGATCCATTTTGATTTTAGATACTGGTCTAATCTTTTTTTTTTTTTTTTTTTTTTTTTTTTTAGATACTGGTCTAATCTTCAGCATGTGGAAAATTAGTTTTCCCAGCACCATTTATAAAAGGCTTTCTTCCAGTCAAGATGTCTATCTCTGTCAAAGATAAGGTAGCTGAGTGGCTTGGAGTTATTTCTGCAGCTTCTGTTCTGTTCCATTGATCCTAAGATCTGTTATTTATTTATATTTTTTGGCAGTACCATGCTGTTTTTATCTTGGTAACTTTGTTATATAACTTCACATCAGGGATTATGATGCCCATTGCTTTGCCCTTTGTTATGGTCTGTGGCTAGATGTCCCCCCCAAACCTCATGCAGTCATGGTGGAGCTTTTCATGGGTGGCTGGATCTGGAATATGCGATGCTGGGAATCAAGAATATGTGACAAATAACTTAATCTACTGCTTGATTTGGCAGTTAGGAGTGAGAGTGCCCTGTCCTGGGTCTGAGCACTATCTGGCCTAAGGGAGGGTAGCATCAATAAGATGTAAAGGAAAGAAAGAGGATCTTTGGTTGGGTCTCTGCTCACCTCTCTGGTCACTTTGCTAGCTGCTTGCTGCCTTTTGCCTGCCTGCTCTGTTATGCCTGCCAAGCTGCCTTGCCTTGATAATCGAACTTGGGACCTTCTGCTGCAACCCTGCCTTGAGGCAGCCACCTACAAACTGAAACCTCTGCAAACTGTGAGCTACAGTGAACCTTCCTCCTCTAATGTTGGGCATGTTGTCTCAGCAACGAGAAAAGTAAGATAGATAGATAGATAGATAGATAGATAGATAGATAGACAGACAGACAGACAGAATGGTTTGATTATAAGTAACCTCTTTTTTCCTGTCCTTTCTTTCCTCCTTTTAGTTCCTTTCAATTTTTTAATAGCATCCACATCTAAGAAAAAGATGTGATTCTTGTCTTTCTGAGCATGGCTTGTTTGCCCAACATAGTGTCCTCCAATTCCGTCTACTTTACTGCAGACGACATGATTCCAGTCCGCTTTTGGCTGTATAATACTGCACTGTGTGTATATTCCGTACTTTCTTTATTTGTTGACAGTCCCCGAGGCTGACATAAAGCCTGGGTATCGTGCCTAGTGCTCTGGTGAACATAAGTATGCAGGCTATCTCTTCATATGCCGAGTTCGTTCCTTTGGATATACCCAGGTGTGATATTTCTGGATCATGTGGCAGTTCTATTTTTAATTTTCTAAGGAATGTCCATAGTGTTTTACTAGTAGCTGTAGTAATTCACATTTCTCCCCACAGCATGTAAATGTTCCTTTTCTCCATATCCTTGCCAGTATTTTTTCTTTTTTGATATCTATTTTGACTGGGGAAGATAGAATCGTACTGTAGTTTTGATTTGTATTTCACAGATTGGCAAAGATGTTTAACATTAAAAAACATATTTGGCCATGTACGCTTCTTTTGAGAAGTATTTGTTTGCACCACTTTTGCAGACTGTCTCTCCTGATGCATGTTGTTGGCACCTTTGTCGGGACTCGGTGGGCTGCACGTGCGCGGGTGGGCTGCACGTGCGCGGGTGGGCTGCACGTGCGCGGGTGCGCTGCACGTGCGCGGGTGCGCTGCACGTGCGCGGGTGGGCTGCACGTGCGCGGGTGGGCTGCACGTGCGCGGGTGTTTCTGGGCTCTTTCTGTCCCGCTGGCTTGTGTCTGTTTCTGCGCGTGTGCTCCGTTGCTTTTGTCGCTCTAGGTCTGTAGCATATTTTGAAATCAGGTCTATTGGGATGCCTCCAGCATTGCTCTTTCTGTGTGGCATGCTTTGGCGCTTTGGAGTCTGTGCTATTGTTTTAACTTGTATTAGAAATCTAATATAGGGGCTGGGATATAGCGCAGTGGCACAAAGGCCTGCCTGGCAAGTGCAGGGTCCGGAGTCCGATTTCCATTACCAGAAAAATAAAAATCTAACACAGTGTGTAGCAAGTGTGATGCTAGGTGCATTCACTTATGTTGTCATTTTAATTAAAATGTTTTGCCATAAATTTCTGTTGGGAAATCTTTACACATTAAAATACTGATACTGTTTTTTAAAGTTGTAATGCCTTGAATATCCAAGTTTCTGTAATTTGTCCCATTACTGTACTGTATTTGTGGACTCTAAGGGTACATTTACATGATAAGGAATGTCAAGGAAAATGCCAGTTCAACTAGGATCTATACATGTATGGATAAGCCAGATATTTGAATACTTGAGTCTGCATATGTCTGAATATTTCAAATAAATACTTAAGTTCTTTTAATTTAATCAATTTATCAATATATAAATAATAATTTGTGGTAAAACTTCATTCCAAATGTTTCTGTAGTTATTTATGTGTTCATTTAGTTTTAAAAAACAGTAATTGACTTAATATGAGTAGAAATTTAAGTGGTTAAGTTAAATTATTATAGCTTTTGGGTCCGAGAGAGAGAGAGCTGTTGTGTTCCAGGAACTCTTCTATGTTCTCCCTTCCCTGGCCCCTAACTCTGTTCCTGGTATTTAAGAATTGATTAGCCATTGTTAGTTGGCTTAATTACTGTTTTATATTCTGGTATTAATGGCTTCTGTGTTCTTTTTCCATATATCGTAAGTGGAATTTCCATCTTGCCACCATCTAGCAATGCATTACAATAGAAGCACAAAGACTAATGAGTCAAATTGTTTTAGTAAATGCTTCTATTGCTGCTGGTTGTGTATAGGCCCTGTGGTGTCTCTTACTGTATGTCTGGAATAAATTTTTGCGGACCTCTTCCTGAGTTCATCTCAGTAGAGGTGGGAATGAGGACATTCTTACTTTCAGGCCACATTCAAGAACAAGGAAACTTGGTAGCCTAAAACTTCTGTTCTTAAGCTGTATCCAAAAGAAGATGGTGTGCCCGCCTCCGGCAGCATGCACGCACAGGCACGCATAGTTCCTTATAGCTGCGTTTGTCTTTTGTTTTACCCTACCATTACCTTCCTACAGATGACAGGTCATTTTTCTAGTCTAGATAAGCACTTGTAACTAGTGCCATACTGAGAGATAAATATATAGAATTCATTGTTATTCTTTATATCTTTGTTAAGATAAATACTTCATACGTTTAAATGTTAATAGATAACTGGATGAGAGTAGGTAGAATATGCAAGTACCGTAATTGTAACTTGGAGAGTGCTGTTATGAATCATTTGTTTCAAATCTTTGTGTAAGTGAAGGTTTCAGCGTAATTTGAAAACAATGGATTTGAGTAGAAGGAGTGACGTCTGAAACCAAGATGGAAGAAAGCGAAACTGGGGAACAGGGACATTCGCAGGGGAGTGAGGAAAATGAGAGTCAGGTGGCAGATAGCATTCTCAAAACTGGTCTCTTGTGATCAGCCTGTTGCCACAGCTGGGCCACAAGGGAATGCCACTTACAGATACAAAAGACAGTTGTGACAGTGCCAAAGTCTTGAGACGTAGTACTAGGAGGGTTATGAGCTAAAGGAGAGGCAGACTCTAAACTACTTTAAACTTCTCTAGGGAAGGCATACAGAACGTGGGTTTCTGTCAGCACCGTTTAGTTTCCCTCTCCCGGAGCATAATGCTTCTCATCAAGGTATAAATCATTACCCTTTACTACTGTGACATTCCAGAAGCCAGGCTGCAACTCCCAAACCCAGCCTGTGCTGACAAGCATGTGCTCCAGGGCTCTGAGGAGTCACCCAGACTTCATGATGGCAGGATTCCAGAGACATTTCAACTAGTACGTCTTTTCTTTTGTATTTTAGTACAGGGTCTACAGGGTCTCACTAGTAGATTGGACTCGTAGTGATCCACCTGTGTTCAGCCCCGACTAGTAAATCTTTAGGGAGCTAGACTTGTAAGAAATAGGGTTAAAATCCTTTAATGTGGGTTATGTCACATATTCCACTGGGCATGGTGGCATACATCTGTAATTGGGAGTCTGAGGTAGAGGATCACCCTGAGTTCAAGTCCAGCCTGGGCTGAGTTCAAGGCCAGCTTGAACTACCTAGAGAGACTCATGGGGTGTGTGTGTGTGGGGGAAAATCCCATATCCCTAGTGCAGATGAGTGTATGTTTGGGTAAGTGTCCCCTAAAGGTTCATGTGCTTAGTCTCCAATGGGCCACTACTGGCAGGTAGCAGAATCTAGGAGGTGGTTTGGCATGCCCTTGAAGGACATTGTGAGATTGTCTTTTATGCGTTCCCTGGCCCATGAGGTGAGCAGTTTTGCTCTGCTGTGTGTTCCTGTCATGATGTGCTGCTTTTTGGAGGCCCAGAGCCGTAGGTTTGTAAATATGGATTAAGGGGTGTGGTGGCTGGGCTGGTCCACTGATTGGTTTCCGTAGCTCTGGATGCAGACAGGGGAGTCCTACTTTGGGTGTGAGTGGCACCAACCAGTGGGCTTGGATGGAAGGTAAAGGGAAGAGGGAACTCGGGCTCTCTGCCTCTGTGTGCCATGCTTTGGACTGTTTCTGTTCTGCCTCGGAGCCAGAGCCAACATAAGCCTTCCTCCTCTAACTTGTAGGCATCTAGCATTTTGTCTCAGCAACAAGGAAGTAACTAAGACAATTAAATTTATTTGTCTCAATTCCTGTAACACACCATCTTAATTACTGTACCTTTACAGTAAGTTTGGAAATCAGGTAGTGTTATCCTTCCACCTTCGTTGATTTGACTGGTCTAGGCCCTTTACATTAGAGTAACTTGTCAGTTGCTGGGATTTTGATTAGGATTATGTTGAATTCGTGGATCAGCTGTGGGAGAATCAATATCATTATGAAAATTTTTGGTCCATAAAGAAGATAGGTCTTCCTTTCTTTTTTTTTTTTTTGTTTGGCGGAACTGGGGATTGAACTCAGCCCCTTGCACTTGCCAGGCAAGTGCTTATTCTACTGAGCCATCTCCCCGGCCCCCAAGAAGATATGTCTTTTAATTTTTCTTAGAAATGTTTTGTACTTCTCAGGGTACATAATTTAATTCTGTCATAGTCAAAAAAATATCTGGTATGACCTCATCCCTTTTCAATAGAAATTGATTGAGCCTGGCTGTGTGGTCCAGTTGTTACCTGTCTTGGTAAAATTGCACACACGCTTGAGAATAAGGATGTGCCTGTTGTTGGGCAGAGTGCTCCGTTAAGGGCAGATGAAATCGTGTTAGCTCCTGGTGTCTTTCTTTGCCATCCTTGCTGACGTTCTGTCTGCATGTGGTCACTTATTCAGAGAAGTGTGGGAACCACTCATTTTTACTATTGGTCTGTCCATGTTTCTTTTACTATTGATCTTGTCTGTGTAATTCTCTTAGATTTACTTCAAGTATTTTGGATATCTTTCATTGGACGCATATGCATTTAAGATGGTTATTTCCTCTTACCTGACCCAGCCTTATTATGAAATGAACTCATAAAAATCACAGGCAGTACTCTTTGTTGTGAAATTTATGTGATGTCAGTATAGCCACTCTTGTTTTGTTTTAGTTAACATTAAGTATATATCGATATCCACCTATCTATCTATATTATTTTTACCCATCTGTTTTTCTATTTGAAAGACTTATTTTAGACAGCATAATATTGAGTCTTCCCTATTTAAAAAAATCCAACTTGATAATCTCTTTCTTTTAATTGATGTTTGAACCACTTATATTTAGTGTGACTGTTGATATATTTGGGCTTAAAACTCACCTGCTTATTTTCCCTCTCTTGTTTTCTTTATTTGTATTTTAGGGAAGGGTCTACAGGATGTTCAGGGTCTCACAACCAGATCGGACTTGTAGTGATCCGCCTACTTACAGCCTCCCAGAGCTGGGATTACAAGCGAGCATGGTCTCAATTGCTGTCTCAGTGCGCCCTGGGGGCAGGGCAGGGCGGCAGGCCCAGGGATCCAACACCCGGCCCCTGCGCCTTCCTTGCAGGTGCTTTAATCCACTGAGCTATTTAGCTGGCTTGTTTTATGCCTTCTTTTAAACTAATCAGAAATTTTTATGATTCCATTTTGTCCCCCTTGTTGATCAGTTAGGCATAATTCTTTGTTGCTTTTGTGACTGCTTTGGAATTTAAGGTATTAAACTAATTTTAGCCTCCCTTCCAGTGACCTTGCGTGCACATTCCCGGTCCTGCATAGGACCTGTGTGCTCTCCACCTCATTTTCTCCCCCTGGCCTCTGCGGTGGTGTGCATATTAATTTTACAAGTAAATTCCATAATATGTTTTTTTGTTTAGTCATACTTCCATTAAGGGAAACATAATAAGAAAATTCTGTGTATTTCCCATGTGGGTTTTGTTTCCAGTGTTTGTCATTCCTTGTGTCCCTCCAGATTTTCATCCGGCGTAATTTCTTCTTCTTCCTGAAAGATTTTTCTTTATAGTGCATGCAGATCGGTTGGTAATGAATTCTTTCAGCTTTTGTGTGTCTGAATATATCTTTATTTAGCTTTCACCAGTGAGAACTATTTTCTCTGGGTATGGATTTCTGAGTTGACAGCACTTTTTTAAAGTGTTGCCTTGCTGTTTTAGTGTTTGTGATTTTTCAAAGAAGTCTATCATTCTTATCTTTGTTCCTGTTTCTTTTTGTATAGCAGTGAAACAAAATATAACCATTAATCCTTATGAACACAATGTTGAATATAATAAAAAAGTAAGTCACAGAATCTATAAGAACTGTTTCATTTCTAAAAAGTTTAAACGATGCAAAAGTAAATTTGGTGTAAAGGAGTATATGTAACATTGATGCATCAGTAGTAAAAACAAGAAAATAATGGGAACACATTTCAAGCAAATGCTTATCTCTGGCACAAAGGCCTGTGCCTATACAGTATTCTTTTAAGTAAATTTAGATGTAACTTACCATCAAATCACCTGATTAAAGCACAGAGTCAGTGGGCCTTAGTGTGCTCATAGTATCTTTATGTACAGCGTCATCACTTCCTAACTCCAGGCTCTTTCCATCTTCCTACAAGGAGCTCTGCACCCCC